TTTTTTAAATGTTTTATTGTGAATTATGTGATAGTTTACATGGGAGAACATTAGTTTTTCATTCATCCTATCTTACATCGTTTCATTGTTATGGTTACAATCCCCTCCATGCATCATCAACCAACCAAAGGGTATACACTACAAGCCTGCCCCTCGGTCTTCAGCACACAGCCCTTTTCCCTCTGTGTGTCTAAAGTCCCCAATGTAGCAGTACTTTTTGACTTGCTTTCTTGTATGTCTGTCTGTGAACAGAAAGAGAGATATACGTTAAACTCTAGACAGTAGACACTTCATTCATTTGCTCTACAGATTTCAATATTATTTGAATTGTTTGACAGCAAGAATGTACTAATATGTTAAATATTAACCTGCATCTAATTTGATTTAAAAAATAACTTAAAAGTATAATCAGGTTAAATTTTTAATCAAATACTAATTCTTTAGTCTATTCCTTTATTCCAGTCAGAAGCATATTCAAATTTATGGCATAGTATCTGGGTTTAACTCAATGACAGCCTGTTAGTATTTTTAAAATGCGTATATATTCTTTTTTTTTTCTTGGAGTAATTTAATCTGTGCCAAACACAAGTGTAAGAGATTTATACCTTCTGTCTTCTCATCTTCACTGAAGTTCCATTTTACAGCTGAGGAAACTGAGACAAAGAGAGGCTAAGAACCTTGCCTAAGACCACAATATCTTTCTGATTCTGAGGTCCCTTGGTTAAATTGTGTTCTGCTGTAGTTATGATTAAAAAGGAAACCGTACATTTGCCTAGGCTAGATATTTCATGTAAGTGGGATCGTACAATATTTGTTCTTTTAGTGATAGACTTGCATTTGCCACAGTGTTTTCAAGGATTATGTGGTAGCATGTATTAGAATTTCATTTCTCGTTATTTCGTTGTATGTATATGCCACATGTTGTTTATCCATTCATCTGTGGATAGCCACCTAAACTGTTTCCACCTTTTTTTTTTTAAATTGTAATTAGTGCTGCCACAAATATTGGTGTACAAGTTTGTATTCCTGCTTTCAGTTCTTTTGGGTATACATATATGTTGTAATGGAATAGCTGGGCCATATTTTTGATCCTTGTTTAACTCATAGTGCTTATCAGGTTGTTGTTGTTTGTAAGTCCCTTTTGGTTTCTTGTAGTAGTGTTTTATAGTTTTCTTTGTATAAGTCTTTTGTTTCTCTGGTTACATTTATTGCTAGATATTTCATACTTAGGGTGGCTATTGTAAATGGTATTGCTTTCCTAATGTCCTTTTCAATGCTGTTGTTTTTGGTGTAGAGAAATCCAACTGATTTTTGTATGTTGATCTTATATCCTGCCACTTTGCTGAATCTTCCAATGAGGTCTAGTAGCTTTTTTACTGAGTCTTTCAGGTTGTTGTTGTTTGGTGCCATCGAGTTGGTTCTGACCCCATGTACAAAGCACTGTAACAAATGCCACACTCACATTTGTTAACATTTGAGCCCATTGCTGCCACTGTCAGTCCTCTTGTTGGGGGTCCTTCCTCTTTTTTTTTTTTTTTTGTTCTTTTTCGTTGATTCTTCACTTTACCCAGCATGTTATCAGGGACTGGCTCCTGATAACATGTCTGAAGTATGAGAGACAAAGTTTCTCTATCCTGGCTTCTAAGGAGCATTCTGGCTGTACTTCTTGCAATACTGACCTGTTTGTTCTTCTGGCAGTTCATGGCACTTTTAATATCCGGTTATCAGGAGGGAGGGGGAATAAAGGGATGGTACTTAGGGGCTCCAAACTTCTGTTAAGGGTGATGGAGAAATTTGGAACTAAATAGTAGTGATGTTTATACAACATGGCAAATGTAGTGACATTAAAAAACGAAGGGTTGAATTAGCAATGATTATGTTATGTATATATGTTGTTGGTGTTAAGTGCTGCCAAGGTGGTTCTGGCTCAAGGGTTTCTGAGGAGCGGCGGGTAAGTTTGAACTGCCAACTTTGTTGTTCAAACTGACATTGAAGTCGAGTGCTTATCCTACTGCACCACACCAGGACTCATTGTTTTATATGTATATACTTAACATAATTTAAGGAAAAAACAACAAAAAAACCCCTAATTTTTTGTTAGGTTGCTTTTCATAAAGCTCGAATCAGCCTCAAAACAGAACATTCTTTTGGCCCTCATCTCCTCTTCTATAAAATGGTGGTGGTTGGTGATTGTGTGCTGCTGAGTTGGTTCCAACCCATAGCGATCCTGCATAGGATTCCCTAGGCTGTAAATCTTTACAGGAGCAGAAAGGCTTTCTGCTTTCTGTCTCCTGAGAAGTGACTGGTAGATTTGAATTTTACATTTAGCAGCCCAGTTTGCAATCCACTATGCTGCCAGGGTTCCTTTCTATAAAATTATTGTTGTTGTTAAGTGCCATCAAATTGGTTCTGACTCATAGCGACCCTTAATAGTGTTTCAGAATAGGGAGATGAAGTTAATGATATACAAGTTCTTCTACAGGTCACATTCTGTGATTAGGGACACTTGCCATTCCTCTTCTCAATGAATATTTATTTCTTCCCCACAGTACGTAGGAAGCCTGGATGTGCCGAGGCCAAACAGCAGGGTAGAGATTGTGGCTGCCATGCGCCGGATACGGGTAAGTGATCTGAAATGGGCTGTGTGGACCCAGAACTCAAATGTTTCAACTGCTGGAGGTGCCAAAATGAATTGCTGTACCTTTTGTTCTTTGCAAACCTTATATCTTTTCTCTATATACCATTCAGGGAAGCTGTTCTTAACAGGGCAGTTGGTCTTGATTTAAATAGGTATTCAAAAAGTCAAGTTAAAATAAGTCTGATGGCTAGATGGATATCCTTCTTTATATTTGGTGACTTGCTGTTTCTCATATGTGATATATATTCTTATTTATCCTTGAGGAAGTGTTCATGAGAGAACGATGAAGTAACATTTTATTCAAAGATTTTAGGAAGATGCTTCAGTAATTAACTGGTGATTGACTTGATATATATATATATATATATACACACACACACACACACACACACACATACTTTTTAATCTGCTTATTATGGTATAGAATATAAGCTTCACTTTTAGTTTCAATAACAAATGTGAGATTTCAACAAAATTTTCTTGGTTGGCTTGAGAAAGTGTGTTGGCATGCTTTTCTGTCATTTCATGTATGTTAAAAGAGTTCGTTCAACATTCCAACCTGTTATTTTTTGACTAGTACACGGAATGGAGATTGAACCAGAATTACATATCTTCTCTTCACTCAAGGAATTTGTCCAGTGTTGGTCACTGAAACAGAAGAAATTGCTATAGACTTGGGCAGTTCAAACATAAGTTGGGAGCAACAACTTTTCATTTGGTCTCATGACAAGATGCAAATTTCATTACATTAGTTTTTAGAGAGAGTACAAAGGGCTGTTGGAGGAGGCTGGATTGGCCGTCTCTAGATGTAGCCTCATTGGTCTTCAGGGTAATCTTTTCACAGTTCATGTAAGAGATTCTAGACACTTCAGTTTGCTTAGCTATTTGCAATTTTAAGAAATTTTTCATCTGGTTGACAGAAATCATGATTCGGTGAGAGCAACTTTGTGAAGAAAATTAGCATGCTTGCTGCTATTTTTCTGGGAAATTCATCAGCCTAATAGTCTTTTCACTGCCTTGCCCTACCAAATAGTTCAGCATTTTTTGTTAAGGGTGATGGAGAAATACTGAATTCACTAAAATGGCCATTAAACACAGTACTATTTTCCATGGATATTGTAATATGTAGCTTCCACTCGCCTGTCAGTTACCTGTGCTGAAGTGGCTTATATATTGATGTGATGCTGAAAGCTATTGACTAGTTTTCAGGAGGGACCAGTCTAGAAGAAGAATATCATACTTGGTAAAGTGGAGGGCAGTGGAAAAAGAGGAAGACCCCCATTAAGATGGATTGGCACAGTGGCAGCAGCAGTGGACTCAGACTTAACAACGATTGTGAGGATGGTGCAGGACTGGGCAGTGTTTCATACCTTTGGGCACAAGGTCCCTGAGTTGGAACTGACGCAATGGCACCTAACAACAGAACTTCCAAGTAAGGAGCCCTGTAGGTGCAAGGCTGAAGGGCTCAGCTGCATACCCAAAAGGTTGGTGATTCTTTTGGTTCTGCTCTGTAAAGATTTGTTGTTGTTGTTGTTATGTGCCGTGGAGTCGGTTCCGACTCATAGCGACCCTGTACAGGGTTTCCCAGGCTGTAGAACTTTACGGGAACAGAAAGCCTCATCTTTCTCCCGCGGAACAGCTGGTAGTTTTGAACTGCCAACCTTCGGTTCGCAGCCCAATTTGTAACCACTACGCTACAGAGTACAGTCTAGGAAACCCTATGGGCCAGTTCTACAGTGTCACACAGGGTCACAATGAGTCAGAATCAACTCATTGAGAAATAACAGCTTCAAAGTACTTGTCCGTGAGTTATTTCATTTAATGAACTCACAACAAGTTATAAAGGAGGTCATGTTACCTTCATTTTGTAAATTAAACTGAGGCTCATGACAGGGATAAAGAGTGAGAAGGATCTAGAAAGTGGTAGGAGTGGGGCATGATTGCAGTTTTTCAGTTGTTCTTTTGAGAATGTGTACATTTCATCACACATCTGCTTTAGACTTGATTTTCAGGTTTGGTATTTTGAAGGCTTCTTCTCTGTTCTTCCTTTGCCTTCCAGCTCAGATAGAAAGCACAGAGGCCTTGGCTCAGATGTGTTTTGGTATTTTACCTGGTGTGATGCTGTAGGAGAAGCACTAGATATCTAACTAACCACTAGCTCAGCGGTTCAAACCCACCAACCTCTCCTGGGAAAAACCCCTATTCTGTGTGGCTATGAGTCAGAACCAACCATTATTAAAGGAGCCCTGCTGGCGCAGTGGCTAAGTACTTGGCTGCTAACTGAACACACCAGTTGCTCTGTGGGAGGATGATATAGCAGTTAATTCTATAAAAATTGTAGTCTTGGAAACTCTACACGGCAGTTCTCCTCTGTCCTGAAGGCTGGCAGTGAGTCAGAGTCGATTTGACAGCAGTGAGTGACCATTGTTAGAGTGGGTTGTTTCCCTTACCACTGTTGTCGTTGTGGCTGCTGTGATAGGGACTAGATCTGGAGCTGGCTGCTCCTTGAAGTTTCATCCAAAATACGAGGGAGCGTCAAAGAGTTTGTAGAAAAATTCCATTGTCTTTTACTTCCATTTTTACCACAGACTTCCTGAAGTCCCCTCGTATGTTTCTCTTTCATGTTTGTCTATACTGTCATACTTACTCAGCACTGACTCCATGTCAGATACTTTGTTAGGCTTTTCAATATCACAATACTGTTTCATCCTTTTATTTGTTGTTTGTAACTACTGTGGATGAGGTCAAGATATTATTATATGAAAACCTTATGGTTCATAACAGAATATTGTCTGATGCAGTGTTTGGAGCTGACCCTCTGGGTTGGAAGGGATTAGACAAGAGCTGCAAAAATGGTCTCAAACCGTCCAATGGTCATGAAGATGGCACGGGACTGGACAATGCTGGGTTCGGCCATACATAAGGTCACCAGGAACTGGAGCTGACTTGATGGCAACTAACAACATAGAGAAGGAAATGGAAGCTTGAGGAGATCCAAGAATTCATTGTAAGTTGAACTGTTGTAAATACGTGGCACTCACATTCACACCCAGGACTATGCTACCTACTCTGTGACCCTGATAAAGGCTTTTTGTGGTGCTGATTTGGTTGATGACCCAAAGGGCATAAAACATCTCCTGGACCAATAAACAACATTCATGTAAATGGAGAAAAGATTGAAGTTGTCAAATACTTCATTCAGATCAACCATCAGTACTCATGGAAGCAGCAGTCAAGAAATCAATTGACTTACTGCATTAGGCAAATCTTCTGTACAAGACGTCTTTAAAGTTCTCAAGAGCAAAGATGTCAGTTTGAGGACTTAGGTGCACCTGACCCAAGCTATGGTATTTTCAATAACCTCTGGTAACGCAGTGGTTACAAATTAGGCTGTTAATCTTACGGTCACTACCAGCTGTTCTGTGGGAGAAAGATGAGGCTTTCTGCTCCCATAATGATTTTCAGCCTTGGAAACCCAGGTTTCCAGTATAGGGTTGCTATGAGTTGGAACTGACTCCATAGCACATAACAACAACAACATAGCATTGTGTTAGTTGGACAGTGAATAAGGAAGACCATAGAAAACTTGATGCATTTGGGTTATAGTGCTGGAGGAGAATATTGAAAGTACATGAACTGCCAGAAAAGCAAACAAACCCAGGTTGAAAGAAGTACAACCAGAATCCTCCTTGGAAGCCAGGAGGGCCAGACTTCGTGTCTCTTACTTGGGAAGGGTTATCAGGAGGGACCAGTCTCTAGAGAAGGACATCATGTTTGGTAAAGTGGAGGGTTGGCGAAAAAGAGGAGGACCCCCAACTAGATATTTAGAAACAGAGGCAGCAGCAATGGGCTCAAGTGTAGCAACAATTGTGAGGTTGGCACAGGACCAGTCAGTGTTTCATTCTGTTGTGTATAAGGTACAGACTCAACAGCACTTAACAACAACAAATAATATAAAGGAGACAGTGGCAGAAACACTTTCTATAGGAAAACATCACATGGGCGCAGGGGAAGGCCAGGGTGTAGGAGCTGAAAACCTTTGGGGCTGGAGTGCTGTCCTGCTCTCCTCTCTCCTCCTCACCTGCCAGCCAGCCTGTCCTTGTGCCTCTTCCTGCAGCTCCCTTCCCTGTGAGTTGCTTCCAGAGCTTAATGAAAAGCTCATTAAATTAGAGGGAGGAATTAATTGGCCAGAAAGCTGTTTGGTTTGGCTGTCCAGTCACTTGTTTAGACTGGCCACCATTAGCAGCAAAAACTCTGGGTGTGTGTTTTACCCCAAACCCCATAATTCACTGCTTGGTCCAGGCTGCTATTTTCTCTTTTCTTCCTTTCAAAAGCTATTTTGGCTGTAATTACAGCTGTCAGGAACTGGGGCATGGGATTTTTATGTAAAGGACTATTCCCAACTCCATCCTTTTATGTTGAATGGTGCTGGAGTAACACAGGCAGGAGACTGTAGGGTGGCAGGAGAGTGTGGGGTTTGGGTTGCTGGATGCTTTCATGATTTCACATTATGAAGGCTCCACAGCTAGGCCAGAGGAGTGGAAAGTCCTCAGAGAGAAGAATTTGTGATAGTGCCTAGATCTTTGAAATGTTTTTGTACCTTGCACGTCCTTTACTTGCCAATCTTCCCTTTCCTCTGTGGACAGATGATGGACAGTTAAGACGGTCTCCATTTCTCAGACGGACAAGTGCTCACAGTGGTGAAGTAAATCTGCCAGAGGGAGCCCAGATCAGCCTTTGAGCTGACATGTATGGGTTTCTGTTCTTCTCTTGTTCTACACCCTGTGTCGACTCTGAGCTAAATATATGGACTTTGTTGATTTGACTGGTGTTTTTTTCTCTTTCCCATTTTTCTCTCACTTTTTCCCCCCTTTCCTTTCTAAAGTTATGTTGTCTGTCTAGTGTGTACATATATACGGTGGTATGTGCCATTGAATCGGTTCTGACTCATAGCGACCCTGTACAGGGTTTCTGAGGTTATAA